TGCATGTCAGAGCTCAGCACTGATCACTGCTCCATCTTTATTTACAGGAATGAACCTGAACCTGCATCCAGCTGTGTGTCCTTTAAGAGCGACCAGTCAAAGGATATTGGTGCTTATTTCAAACAAGAACGTTCATCAGACAAACAGTAAGTTAACATCATGAGCTGCCTGATATGTTTTTGTTCAGGACCGGTAATAATTTTTAGTAATCAAGGAGATTAATGAGCAATGTTTGGAACTGATAAAGATTTGCAGTAAAAATCTAAATCTTTGTGTCAAAATGTAGAATAACACAAACTCTAAGACAAAACTTCATGAAATATTTTAGTTTATTTTAGAGCTGCAACAATTATTTGATTCATTGATTAGTTGTTAACTATGAAATGAATCACCAACTATGTTAAAAATTGATTAATCAGTTTGAGCAGCTTTTTAACAAAATCTTTCCAAATTCAGTCGTTGCAGCTTCTTAAATGTGAATATTTTCTGGTTTCTTTCCTCCTCTGTGACAGTAAACTGAACATCTTTGGACAAAACAAGTCATTTGTCATCTTGGACTTTGGGAAACACTGATCCACATTTTTCACTGTTTTAAAATCAAAAAAATTATAAACCAAATAGGAAATTAATTCATAGAGAACAATTTAACTTCAGTGTTAAATTGTGTACAACTATATTAAATGTATTTAATACCTGGAGACTTTTGTGAAGCAAACTAAACTAACTAAATTGTAGCGACTTGATTTCGACAAACAAAAAAAACCAAAGCCACAGTGAGGGGCTGGTACCGAGATATGTAATTGACACGTCGTCATGCGGCGGATCCACGCAGTAAATCAAACATCTGCGGACTTGTGCTTGATATGTGTTTATTTACCACCGTGCACCACTAGAGCCTTTGCTATGCACACACTTACATCCATAACTTGCATGAAAACAAACAAAGGGCTTAAAGATTAGCCTCCAAACGGCAGCGACGGTCAAAAACTGTGTGCTTCTCCCGATAAGCAGCACACCTGAGGAGTAATTACCTCTTCTTCTATTTATACATTTCCATGTGCTGCTGTCCAATATGCCACCTACTGTGGCAATCGGGGAATGACCTGAACACACATCTACAAATGGCTCTAACATCAATGTTCTTCTATCAGGATCCATCAGAGACTCAAACCTGGACCTGAACCTGCATCCAGCTGTGTGTCCTTTAAGAGCGACTGGTCAAAGGATATTGGTCACGAGTTCAAACAAAAACATTCATCACACAAATGGTAAGTAACATCATGAGCTGCCTGAAAGATTTTGTTCAGGGCCGGTAATAATTTTTAGTTATCAAGGAGATGAATAAGCAATGTTTGGAACTGATAAGGGCTGCAGGGTGGCGCAGTTGGTAGCACTGTTGCCTCGNAAAACTAGAAGTATTTATTCTGTGAAAAGCAGCACTGTGACTGCAAACGATGAAAAAGGTCATTGTGCAAGTTAATAAACATATTTTATCAGTCAGCAGCATCTCAGTGGAGTCGCTTCACACTAAATATTCACATCCAGTCAAACTGTAGTTTCTCTGCCTGTTGTGGTTCAGAAAAGGGTCGAAGCTGGACAGACGAAGAGAAATAAAGATGCCAGTAATTTATTCAGTGAAAAGCTACTGAATGCAGAAAGACAAACCTGTATCACTGTAACGTCTATTTGATGCTTTGCTTTTGTTGTCGGGTTTGTCAGCTGCTTGGAGATCAGCTGCAGCGCTGAAGTGATCAGTTTGTGAAACTCAGCCGTCAGGCTGCAGAGCTTCTTCCTCCAAGTCTTCTTCTTCTCTTTGCATCGACGCTGCAGGTGAGCAGACACACACTGTTTACAAAAGCTTCTTCTGGCAGTTCTGGAAATTTCATTCTGCAGCATCGACTTTTATTTGTGTCCAGATGGTTCTAGTTTTGGCTCCTGATCTCATTTACTTTTTCTCCTCCACGGTCCAGCTCATCGTCAAGGAAACAAATGAAGAGAAAACAGACATTTGTCACATTTCAACTGTAAAATAAACTCTGAGTGATTATTGTGATTAAACAGATGTGTTCATGATCATCATGTCGTCTGTCCAGACCTGCTGAAGAGAAATGAGGCTGCAGTGACGAACTCAAGAGCTTTTATCACTGGATCCTCAGAGAAAAACAGCTTTTTAGGATGTTTACTGATAAAAACAGAACTAAAGTCACAGCCAGTGAGAACAGCAACAAACAAAAGGTAGATGAAGCACTGAGGACGAGTTCAGCTGTTTGATGCAGGATTCATTTCCTGTTTTATGAACTGAAACTGAACATCCTGATTCCAGTAAATATAAAGTTCTTACTGTGTTTTTCAGCAGCAGCAGCCTGTGTGCAGCGTAACACAGGTGTGATCTTAGAATACCGTCACTGAAATGCTGTTTACACAAAACTAAACTCACTAAACAGGTTCCATGTTCTGACACAAACACTCACATATGAATTATTATTAACTCATTCTGTGTAATGTTTGTTTTTAGTGTGTTGATCTGCTCAAAGTGGATCCTATTTATTGGATGAACACATGAGTTGAATTTCTGATCGTTCCGTGTTTTCTTGTCTCTGATCTCTTTGTGAGGTTCTTTAAAGGCGTCAGCGTTTGTCCTGGAGGCTCCTGCATCACTGTGTGGCCGCCAGCTGCTCGGCTGCAGAGAGGAAGGCTCTGCAGAGGCTGCTGAAGGCTGCACAGAGGATTGTGGGGAGCAGCCGAGCCACCGCCACAGACATCTCCAGCAGCAGATGCAGGAAGAGGCCTGTCTGAAACATGAAGGACTTCAACCGCCTGCACGCTCCCTCTCTGGCCCTCTGGCCTCAGGCAGGAGGCTGCGGAGCATCCGGAGCAGGACCAGGAGACTGAAGCTGTTGGACTGTTGAACTCCGCTGCTGCTCTGTAGCTTCTCCACCGACCTGCAACCACAGACACTTTATTTCCATGTGCAACTCAGGCCACCTGGCCAGATGGAGCCACCTCACGGCACAGTTTGACTTTATAACCTCTTCAACCACATTTTGAACGCATCTCTATTTATCTGTGTACAGCTGGTCAACCTTTGTTTATGTTGTGTTTATAGTGCTCCTGTTTTGCTGTAGCTCCTTTAAAACGGTGATTTTGGGGACATTTAGTGTTTGAAACTAAATCATCAGTTCTGTGTTTGATTCTTCTTTCTTCTGTATATTGTAGTAAAGGCTCGTCTTTATAGAATGGTATCACGTTGGGAGCTCAGGCTTTGGATTGATTCTGTCATTTGCTCCAGAACATTTTCATAAAGTCTCGTTTTACTAAAACTCACGCGAGACTCTTGGATCAGGGAGTAGTCTGTTTCCGTCTCCGTTGCCCTGACAACACGGACGTCACGGCTCTTCCTGTTCTCCAGGTTAGTTTAGTTTCACTTTGTCAGAAGTTGTGTCGCAGCTTCTTTTCTCCGTCTGAAGGTCAGTAAACGACACTTTAAACTCTTTTGAAATGTGGCTCCACAGAATAGTCAGCTTCAGTAATTTAACGTAAACTTAGTTTAAATTAACTCAAACAATGTCAGCAAGTTTACTAAAGGTCGTTACAACACGATTTTTTTTGTTTATCACCATAAAGCTAACTTTAGCTCACTTAGCTCAGTGACGACCAGCTAACTAGCATTATTCTGTTCACAGAGTTTAGCTGCTGTCTGACTGCTGTTAGCTCGCTGCAAACGTTCACTTCAGCCACAAAGAAATCCTCCGATACGTTGCTTTATGTTGACTTCAGGTAACATTAAGGTTAATGTCGTAGCCAGAGACGCCGCCCTCGTTGACTCACTGGTGGTGATTTTATTTCTGTACTTCAGTAAATAAACCAGCCTGCAGTGTTTTCCCAAAGTCTACCTACATGTGTTCTCTGCTCTAAGTTTTCCAGTTTACCTGAAGGCTGGACTAAACC